TATTGCATGTACAGTGTGGTTTTGTTGTTGGAGGTGCAGCAGCACAGTGTCTGCAATTGACATGAAATTGGCATTGGAGACATTACGCGACTACCGCCAAATATACAAATGCATACACAATCACAACCATACCTAGGTAGAAGCAGAGGCACCGTCGAGTACGCTGCTAATGCAACATTAATGCCACAGTCGGTGGCATCAGCCATAAAAAGGAGCTGTCAGGCGGCTTAAAGTGAAGCGGATGTGAAGCAAGCAGCAAGGCAAAGGAGCAGAGCATTCAACTAATTTAATATATTGTATGATGAAGAACCGGATATTGAGCCGGCTGTTGTGCAACCGCCGCTGTCGCTTCCAAAGCCACAGAGCCAAGGAGCCGATGAGCGATTGAAAAATCAAAGACATACTGCTCAAGTGGAGCTCAAAAGAGCTCTGCAGACGGCAAGCGCATTAAACAGAACCTGCTGACTGACTGCTAGCGGAAGTCGGGACAAATTATTTGCTTATCTAATCGGTTAAAAGTCTGTACAAGTTAATATCCAAGAGATTTTATTGTAAATCCAAAGATTAATCAAATAATGATTGCCAACGTACTATATCTTTTAACACTCTACTTAGAAATAGAGAGTAGGTGTGGCAGACCCCATGCATGACAAAATGACTTCATAAAGAGATGTCTGTCTGTATGAACCTCGATGTCTTTTAAAGCCTAACAGCTTGGGATTAAGTTTATTGCCAGCCATATACAGTACATAGCTTAGGGACTATAGGAAGAACTTGTTTGTTAAAATGGTCTTCGACAGCATTTTTTGGTCGAAAACTCGAATGGATTTCTGGGGAAACCGACAGCAATTAGTTGTTAGTGACCCTTTTAAAACAACTCTGCGCTGCCAGCAACCGCACATTGAATGCGGCCGAACAGATGTTTCTTGATCCTTGAGCTACAACATACAGTGTGTATATGCACATAAGGGCAAATACATATATACATGTACATATGTACGTAAACATACATAGGCGTGTGTGTGTGTGTGTGTATGTATCGACAGATGAATTTCTACAGCAGCAACGGTGGTTATTGTATGCGTAGCACCTGTTATGCATTCATTAAGTACCTCAGCAACAACAGACAGAGCATGGGCAACAGCTTAGGACTTGAGGCGCTGCAATTGGAAGCCGATGCAGAAGACGTGCAACTGTCTGAGGCACGCACGCACGCACTTAGATGGATAGAGACACATACAGGCATTGGCACGCTGCTGTTCAATGGCATTCGGGCATTTGGATTTACACGACGCTGGTTATTGGGTATTGTAACAACAGCAGACGACGGCTGCAGGATTCTGGCAGCTGCTCATTATTACGACGACGACGACGCCGCCACCGCTTGCGTCGACTTTGCAGATGTCTTGGCACAGGACAAAATTGATGGCAGATACTTAGATGGTTGCTAAATGTAATTGACTGGCGCTCTCCCTCTCTATGATAAATAGACATTTAAGAGATGAAGAAAGAGCGACAAGTATTCTAAAAGCGCCTCTGAACAAATATGTAAGCCCAATTTCAGGCTAAACTGGCCAAAAGTTAGCAGTTGGCTATCATGCAAAACCGGCTTTGAGAGCAAAAAAAAAGTCAATGTGGGAATGCAGGCAAACAGGCTGCTGTCGACGCTAGACAGACAAGCACACACACACACATACATATCAGTACTCCCGAAAGAATACAAGAAAGATATATATGAAGGAAGGAAAAAAGGCAGCACAAATACCTTTTTAAAAGGAAACAGCTGCTTGCCGGGCCAGTTGTAGATGAAGAAGACGCTGACGACAAGACTTCCTTTCAAAAGGATACCTGGCAACATGGCTACAGCAACAACAACAACAGCAATAACGACAAACACATGCTGTTCATTATGCGACGCTGTTATTTTCTAAGACATACAAACATTTATCCATTCGTTTTTCCACTGATCTGAGCAGTTATCAAAGCAAATGGCAGACCGACAACAACATAGAAATGGCAGCTGCAAGGATGCTGATGCTGCCACAGAGTAACATAAAGGCGGGCGGGCTGGCAGTCTGGCTGGCGTTCAAATAGGCTCTCGCAAGCTGCACAACAAAATTTTCATATGCCAAAACGGCAGGCCAGAGAAAAGTAAAGCACAATTCGTATTAATAAAATAAGCATAGCTTTTTAGTTGCTAAATGCAGAGGACAGCAACCATACGGAGGCAGGCACTAAGTGCCAACCTTGTCGTCGTGGATGGGTGCTTTTTCCTTTTGTTTGCTGCCGCCACTGCTGCTCCGCACCACGGACTTGTTGACCTCCATAGTGAGATGAAAACATGAATATGCATCAGGCAGGCAGCAAGGCGCAGGCAGGCGGGTTTCAAGCCAGCCAGGCAACAGTCGGTAGTAAAAACTTATAAATGCACAGACAATAGTCCAAGTAACCCCGCCAGGCAGTTCTACGGATGCCTTTTACCCGCTCTCCCTTCAAAGTATGCAATATTAAATTCACGCGCACGTTTCCTTCTTTCCTCTTATTACGGCCTCAACAGTGGAACTTGCTTTTAATAGCAAATATACGTAAATTCGATGCCCTCCCCTCACTCAATTCGAAGTGTTGTCGATCGAAATGTATCACGGAAGTTTGTAGATTCGCCAATTCCTGTATACTACGTACCTACTTTTTTGTGCTAACTACAGCTTCCGCACTTTTTAGTGTATAAATATTTCAGTAAATTTCCTTTTTCCTTGTTAATATTATAAATATAATATTTTGTTCATTGATTTTCTAAAACAAATGTGACTTTTTACAGATTACTTTAAACTTGGTTTGTTAAAGCTCATTAAGAAATACAAAAGTTATAATTCTAGCAAAGTATCTATCTTTCTAATGGTAAATAAATTTTGGCCCGCCGTTTAGGCCATATACTTGTATGTTAGTCTTAATTTAATTAGCGAATCAGAATCACAAATTATTCACAAGTGAATGCAAATACATGTTTTAAGTGCTTACACTAGCTCGTGTTCACATACAAATTTATCTTTCACACGGCTTTTAACACCTGCCTGTCGAGTATTTTATTTGCCTATTAAAACCTAAAATCCGTTGATATAACACTTTTCGGAATTAACGTAAAAATTCGAATTTCAAAGCCTAAGGTAAACATTTCATTTAAACAAATTACAGTTATATTTGCCGATTTTAAGTATAAATAGTACTACATAACTGATAACTACTGCAGCACGCTTACACAAGTGGCGAAAAGACAAGGAAGAAAAAGATAGAAATATGGAACAGGGCCGCATTTAAGAAATTTCAATTATAAAATGCTTTTATTTTTGTACATTTGTTTCATTGCTAATTAATGATCAAAACAAATAAATAGGTAAGTAAAGCAAGGAGCGAGAGTTGAAAATTGAACAATTAGTACCTTCAGCTGGTGCTATGTACTTGTATATATATTTTTGAAAATTGTGTTCTGCTCCTGCTCTTGTGCAATTGAAAGTACTTCAAACATCAAACAAACACACACTTAGACACACGTGGCAACACATGACGATGTATCCACGTTGCTATGATGCAAGTTTCCAATCCAATCCAATTGAATACGAAAGGGATGTTGGGTTGTAAACGGGGTTGGGGGACGGAAAGTTAGGTGACAAGTGCGTTATGACACAATCCACAAGCGGCAAGTAGAGCTTATGAAAGAGTCAAGCTGATGCAGAAACTCCCTGTCCCATGCTATATGTGCTCATATATATGTGTATGGATGTCAGCCGCAGACACAGAGCGGACTTTTTGCCCACTACAAGGTATTATTATCAACAACAAGCAGCGGCGACAGCAGCACCAGCATCGATGAAAACGTTTTCTGCTGCTGACAGCACACAATACTGGCCCACACACATTTCAAAACTATGGGACAGGAAAGTTGTACTCAGCTTCCACCTTCAGTTACAGCCTGGAGTTCCAGGCACATAGCCAGCACTGGCTGTCTATCTGGCTGCTCCTAGTTTGTTGTTATTATTGTTGCTGTTGTTGAACCCTTTTGCGCCATGTAAATGTTGACGGGCTTCAACTTCACGTGGCAGAAAGGGCAGCTAAAAATATTTTTCAACTAAATGCTTACACCATGCCTCGTACTCAAACACACACGCATGCCACACAAAAGCAACCAAGCATAGTTTAAGGTTCTTTTCGTCTGCCGTTGATATACTACGCCCACTTATACTTATATGTAGAGTATCTCACTTATGTAGCGCAAACCGAGCGCAATAATGTTCATTTTGTACGTACGTACTTCTATCCTACGCTATAGATATGATTTCGATTAGAAATTTTTCCCCAATATTATGGAACCGATTTTATTCTTTGAAATTAAATTCCAACCAATGTGAAACAAATCTGGCATATCAAGGCAGTATTTGAAAACGCTCTTCTAATTTCAAATCACTGAAGTCTGCTATAAAATACATGTACACCTTCAATGACTCTAATTAAGAAAAATGTATGGAGTTTACTTTAATTAAATCTCATAAAGGTAATTAAATTGAATTTGGAGAATTGATTGCTCGTGATATTAGCTAAAATTTGCCATCACATAATGCACTTTTAGTTACCTGCGATCACATTACAAGGTGAGGAACGAAGTTTCTTAAAATTGGTGCTGACTATCCACAAGTATTACACCTATGGTGGGTTTAAGTTTTCCCAGGTATGGCAATCACAATTAAAATTCTATTTCCAATTAATTTTTAGCTCCAAAACAAAGTATTTGTACAAAAACGTAATTATTGCCTGGGCTATCGGTTGTGCAAGGATGCGTGCCCAATGGACAAATCGAATGAACGCGGCTGATGATAATGGCAGTGGCATTACAAGAACGTCATTATATGTATGTTGGTGTGGTGCCATGGCTCATTGACCACAACCACATTGGCTGACAGCGTTTAAACACAATATGGCTAAGGGTTTCATAGAGAGTTGGTACTTACATCGCGTATTTCCTTAATCTTCTGGCCTCCCTTCCCAATAACGCAGCCGGCCAAACTCTGGTGAATTAATAAACGCACATCAAATTCATCGTCGCGCTGTGAAAAAGAAATCACAAATGCATGATTGATTAAAAGCGAACTTAATAAAATGCCTTAACATTTCCCATTAGAGGAAATTATACAGTTTTGATAACAAATTAAAATTCGTTAATTACGGCAACAAGAGTGGCTTGTTTTTAAAGTTTGACGTATTTTGGGAAGTTTTAAAATTGGTTGCAAGCTCGGCCAAAAATACACTTTAGCTTAAACTTTCTAACGTTTTTATATATTTTTTTATGTTTTTAATTGAATTATAATAAATAAATTAATATTATTAATACGCACCTCTTCGAAATATTTCAGCATTTCCGTTATAATCTCCAATGTGGACTCGATATCTGCTGAGATTTGGATAGTCCTGTCAACGGGTAAAACAACGTGCACATAAAATTTGATAGCGAGGATTAAAAAAGAGAGAAAAAGAGAAGAGTGGGAGAACACATATTAAAAATACATACATACATTTGAAGTGCACGGCCTAGACTCTTGCCGATGAAATTTATTTAAAACTTATTAATTATTTGAGAAAATTGAGAAACTCATATGTAAAAATTGCAAATAGACGATAGAAATACAATTGATATGTTTCGCCGCTGCATTTTTCTTCTTTTTTCTTTGATTGAAATATGTATGTAGGTATAGCCCTAGAATTTGCCAATTTTTAATTTATATATTATATAAATATGTATGTATGTTTATGGTGGGCATTGCAAGGCTATACCACATACAGACACACACACACACACACACACAAAAGGATTGTTTGGGTAGAAGTACGCAAAGACAAGCAAGCGACGGGCGGGAGAGCAACGGGCGCGAATTTTATGCATGTATTGACTAAATACATAACAAATTTAGGTCCTGGGCACAAAACAATAGCACACACATCCATACACACAAACATAAATACATTGCAAACAGTTGCTGTTAGTGCTAAGCAATTTGATTGTTATTTATGTTTTAGCTGCGTGTGTGTCGGTTTTCCAAAAATTATAAAAATTCCATAATTATATATTTAATATTGCGATTCAATAGAGTTAGGACTTTTGCTTGAAGAATGTGGTGGTGGTGGGTGGTACATATGTGTAACCAGAGATTACGTTTAATACCGTGCACTGACCTGAGGTTTGATTGTTATTACCATTACGTTTAGTTAGGTTAGGTGCAACAATTAGTATGAGTATAGAAGTTTTTAATTCGCGTTCAGTTAAACATTAAGGCGAGGGAGAGCCAGAGAGCCTGGGTAACTACGGAGCGTTTGTGCGTTATGGACGTGGATGCGACATTTGGTCTATGAGCGATCGAACTTTTTAGATACAAACTTTTCGTTGATATACACATTCTATGGTTTTAGGTAATAGGAATTGGGTAATAGGTTCTAGGACGTCCAAATACAAAAGTTACGCATGAGGAACACACACAACTCAACTCTAAGAATTATCTCTATTGTATGTTTCACGAAAAAAAGCAAAGAAAAGGAAAATATTTATTTAGTCATACGTTTAAGATATACTCAACAAGAGCAGCTGAATTTGGTCTCAGATTTTCAGCTGATTAGTTTAAATTTTATTTTTAATTTTTAAATTAACTACTCTGTTCTATAGTTGGGGATTATACTTGTATATGACTGTAATAGATTGTAAGCTTATAGAGAGAAAGGTTTAGATTTGTATGTGGTTTACCGTTCAGGGCCTTGGGAATCGTCGACAGACACTGTGGCTTTATACTGCACATTGTTGCATGGATGGACACAGGCGGGCGGGCGGTTGGTTGAGCGGTCAGGCAGATTGTGGGCGGTTGTGCATTCAGATTCAGATTCGGTCGTTTCATTTGTTGTTGTTGGGCCGCAGCAGAGTTAAGTTTTAGGGTGCGATAGTGCAACAATGCGCCGAGGCGGGGCATTGGTCAGTCGGAGGGGGACGACCAGAAACCCCAAATGCCATATGCCACATAACGCACGCACGCACACACACACACACACAACAATGGTCAACGGGTTGGTCGGGTGCATACGCATACGCACATGCACAAACACACACAAACACAAGAACACAACATACAAGGATGTGGTGTGTTTGGAAGGGTGCCGCCGCCATAATTTTTATGTAAAGTTGTATATGCATTGGTAGCCAGACACATGCATATATATATATATTTTTTTGTATAAATATATACAAATATATATAAGTATATGTATTTATATTGGCATATTTGATATTTTTGGACAGCAACGGGTCAATCGGGCCGGGCAGTTGTTCGGTCAGATAGGCGGGCGGGCGGGCGTGTGGTCGGTCGATAGGTCAATCGTGCGGTGGCAGCAGCATTTGATTTGATATTTGGTTTATAATTTAATTTGATGGGTGCCAGCATTACGATACGTTTCATTTCGTTTCGTTTTTATTTTTCATATATACACATATAGATATATGTTCATCGGGCCAGTTGGAATCAGTGCAGGCAGGGCCGGGCCGGGACCGTGGTACGACGGTCAGTTTATTGGTCGTTCGATCGATTGATTTCAGTTACAGACGAAGATCAGTTGAGACCCGGGCCAGGCCAGGGGGGCCGGTGATGGTGCAGTTTTGTGCAGTTGTAGTTGTTGGGCGTGCGAAACGCGCGGGCAGAGGCGATCAGGCGATTCGGTACAGACGTTTGCGACAATTCGTTTGATATACATATATATATACGAGTATATATATTTTGAGTTTTAATTTTTTTTTTTACAATAGGTTTGATTCGATTTGGTTTACATTTTCAATGCATATGACACACATGGGGCGTAAGAAGAGAGAGAGAAAGAAAATTGTTCATTTAGTTAAAAGGTTAATAGCGTGGCAGTTGTTTTTTAATTTAAATTAATATATTTAATTTCATTTTTGGTTTTTTGTTTTAACTAAAGCGCCTACATATTACATATTTTTGTTATTTTTGATTCGGTTTCAAACGAGTTCCAAAACAAGCTTTCAAATTATAGAAAAATAATGAGTATAGATCGCAAATAGGCAGAGTGTAGCATACATAAATTCCTTATAAATATTTTTCATTAGCCGAGACCAAGGAATAGCCAGAGTTAAACAGAGAAAGAGAGAGAAAGGCAGAGAGAAAAAGGGATATGTTGAGAGAGAAAGTTGGAGACCGGGCGGTACGAGTTGGAAAAAGTACTCGTTACTAGGCAAAGGTTAATTAAATGAGACGCCTAAGTTAGTGAGAAGCGTGTTTTTGTTGCTGCTGCTTTATGTGAGAAAAGCAATATATATTTTAAAAGCTGGTTAGATCCAACACACTAACAAGGTCTCACAGACAGTATTTTACAAAATATGTGTAGGGGAAAATGATGGGTCAGACTGGAGAAAGACTTGAGCGGTAATACGCACTAGGGCGCCACAATAAGGAAACAAGAAGAGACAGTTGGCAAACGTATTGGACGTTGGGGTTGCTTTTGTAATTGAGTTGAATTTGATTTGGTGCAAGTGAGCATTAAAATTAACATAAATAATACTAGACGCTTCTCTAAAATGTTTTATGCTGTCTTTTTTTAGGTTTTTTTTTTTTTCATCAGCGAATGATTTGTCTTAATTAAATATAAACATCTACTGTACCTGAGTGCGCATCTTCTGTATGTGTTGGCCACCTTTGCCAATAACAGCGCCGGCAATCTGCAAGTGAAAAGAAGTCACAGTCAAGTGCTGTTAGTACTGATGGCATTATGAATTATTTGGGATCACTTACGCTGCTGGGAATTAGAATACGAACGGTCTCCTCATTGCGGCGATTGCGCTTGCTATCCTGAGGTCCATCGCCACCATCATTGTTCTCTCGCTTCATTTTCATTCTCTCTGCAATGAATAAAGACACAATAAGGTTAGTATATAAAAAAAATATAATAAAAGTATTATTTAGGTTTGTGTACTCGTTTGTGTGTGCGTTGCTTACGAGTGTCTTGAGCCGACTGAAAGCTACAACAATGTGTTGACTATAAACAATTCGCCGACGACAACGATGGCTTAGCACCAGACCCAAGGCCCAAGAGCCAAGAGACAGCCCACAGCTGTGGACTTGCTTTGGTTTTGCTTCTGTGCCGCCATTAAATAACAATTCCATTTAGTTGATTCAATTGCGGCCGAGGCGTTTCGGTTTCTAATTGTAACTCTCTTGATTGTTTTTGGGCTGCTGAATAGATTGTGTTGGAGGCAGGCGCAGATGCTGCGGCTTTGTTGCATGCATGTATGTAAGTACATATATATATCTATAAATACATACTATACATATCGACTGCAACTCCCCACACTTATCAACGAAATCGAGGAAATACCAAACAGCCCACACACACCAAGCTCAGGTGGCAATGCAGCTCAGAATTATAATTATAATCTAGTACCAATCAGATTCAAACATATCTCCGCCTTTCGCCCACCTTTAACATACATACTTGTATATCGCTATATTTAAATCTACTTACGTATTTGCATTTTTTTGTTGCCTTTATGGGGATGCTCGGATTAGATTCAATAATATACTTTGTTTTTTGCGACAAGTGATAGGTATAAATTTGAAAAAATAATAGGGCGACGCCTACGTGATGGCATTAAGGATTACTTGATATTGAAAATTCTATACTAGTGGGCGCTACTATCATATTAAAATAGACCATCAAGTGGGTTTCAGATTTGCTTTCCGTTATTCCTTCGTTTTATATTCGACAATAAATGTATTAATATCATGAAAGTAGATCTTTAAAAGTACTTTATTTAATAAAGTAAATCAAGAACCAACGTACTTCTATACAAACGTTTAACAATCGCGAAAGCCCTTTCCGTAGACATTTGAACGTTTGTACGAAGATACATTACTGCTTGATATACTGTAGCCTTAGCTTTAATGCTATATCGGAATCGAAAGTCGAAGTGAACATGCCTGAGTATGAAGTCCACCTTCTCGAGGTATATCAATACATTATTGATTTGTTTGATTCACACACACAAAATAAGCTTTGAGTGTGGGATTGGACATCGATTTTATAATTTAATACTTGGATTGATAACTAAGTAGCATATATTTAAAAGTAGATCTTTGCTTTATTACTACTTATATTTAGTAAGTTTAAAAAGTGCATTTCATGTACTACATTTGCATTTAAAAGATACCTAAGTAGATACTAGTCATCAAACAGAGCTCATGAGCAGCAGCAATACTATTTAAGGCATCTGAATAGCTTCCCCTCCCTTTCATTGATTGTATAGTACAGTCGAATCAAGTCGTTTTGTAACTTAGCTTGGGCTCTCGCTCTCTATATATTGACTTCGACACATTGCACAACAATTGCGGTCTTTGTGTTGCGCCCACAGTGTAAGCTGGAGCCTATTTTTTATGGTACTTTGACAGCAAGTGCGCGGCTGGTTTAATGTGTCAAAATATGAATTGTCTTGACTGTTAAGTTGTCAAAATAATGCTATAGTGATGTGCTTTGTATCACAGCAGAAATGACTCAGCTTTTTGTTGTCCAAATGCTAAGCATCAGGCGAGCATTGACCAATGCGTGTGAAATATGTGGGCTGAGCTGAGCTTAGAGCCTTGAATAAATTCAAACTTAGCACTTGTAGAATCGTATGAAATTAAGAACCAATGTAAATAAACGAAAAATGTCTTGGTGCTTGGTTATTATACCTTTTGACAGTAGAATGGGATTCGGCTTGGGTGTATTATCTGTACAAATAAGATGAAAACTCTTGGCATTTACCTTTTAAGAACAGCAGACACTTTATATCACAATTTAATTTACACTACTTTTTTCAAAATATTACCAACTTTTTGCTTTTATTTTATATCACTCGGTAGTTACATAACATCAAGTTTATTGGAATTTTGGTTAGACCAATATAAATCACTAGCAGCAGTTTGCACGGAACATTGGAGCACCGAGTGCTGTTTACTGCAAACTCACAACTAAAACTAATGAATACATTTTGAAAATCGGCGCTATTTATAGCAAATCCTGGACTATGGTATTGAATTTTCTTTCATCGAGCTGCCAACTGACCAATCAGAACGACAACTCCACCCAATAGCTATGGGTCAGAGGACCTTAGAAACGAGCCACACGTTATAGACATATAGCGGAAACGGAAGTTGACCAATAGAAATTGTACAAATGCGTGCTAGTGACACTACAAAATAGGGGAAATTTTTTCAGTTTTGGAATCAGCTGCTAAGCAACCATAATAATTGTCCTATCTGGTTAATTTGAGCCACAACAAACCGCTCCATAAAAATAGATAAACAGGCAACTTTTACATACATTTCGAGTATATGATCGAGTCCTGCGGCTATATACACAGATAGTTAGTATAGTGGGCGGGGGTACTCGGTGTAGTCCAATACAAAGTAAAATGCATTTTATATTGACAGGCACATTTTGTGGATGTATGATATTTTTTTTTATACATGTGTATGATTATATAACTGTGGCCCATATATGTACATACGTATTTATATATAGAGCGCCCGCCCCTACGACTCATATACTGCGGACCAAAGCAACTATACATTGAAATTATATAATTGACTATGCCTTCAATTGAATCTGAAGCTTTGAATAGGGGCTAGTCATGGTTCCAATATGGTATTTATAGCATCCATGCAAGGTACTGCAACTTTATGAATTTTAGATGCACCGTTACTGCTCTGTACAATACACTTCAGCTGGATGTTTTCACATTATGCATTTTTAAATACTCACCCTTACAGGTCATGTGGCGGCGTCCAAGACAGTCCGCACCAGTTTGGTGTTTAAATATTGATAATAGGGGCTAAACGTTTGTGAAAAGCAACAAATTGCACTGGCTGGGTAATTTGAAAAACAAATATCATCGCCAGAGTCGTCGATGCAGAGATGACGTGGCATATGGCGGTGTAGTAAGCCATCATTATTTTAACTGACGTGTGATTAGGGTCGGGACCCATCATAAAAGTCTATTTGACCAGCCGTTCATTTCCCCCTATATAATATTAATGTAATTGGAGTAATTTGCACCAAAGCTGCATTCATTTTGCGGTTATGTAGGATCGATTCACAAAGTTGGAACGATGAATGTAGTTCGCTAATGTATTGCCGATAAGCCATCTCTGGAACTATACTTGATGATTAAATCAAGGGTTTCACTTCAAATCGAAAGTAGGAAGACACAATTAACTGTCATTATTTGGAAAATGGTCAAATCGTGGGTCCTAATGAATGCATTTTAATTACGTTCTGAAACCTTTAACAGCCGTGGAAGGTGTTCAACCGCAACAATGTAATTTAATTAATGAACATAGCTATAAGTTAATGTAAATTTATGACGAATTGATGCCCACATATCCAACACACCCCTTACATATACTTTATACTACATAATGACGTACACAACAAACTTCTTGGAATAGCTGCCATATGCGATTTTTCGCAGTTTTGTGCAGTTCTTTAAACTTTAGTGAGGGTGGCAAAGAATATAAGCAAAAATAAATAAATAAAAAAAATTGAAAACAAGTAATTGGACCTATTTTGTAACGATTTAGAATAAACATATTAATATTGTAGGAACATATACTACATATGAAATTTTTTGGAATCCTCGTTCCAATTTTAGACTGTAATTTGACCACAGAAATCACACGACCGGCTCAAGATAGCCTGCCTAGGCAGTGAATTAATTGTGGTCAGTGAAATTGACAAGGGATTGTTTCGAGATGTGTGCGTCTGTGCATGTGTGTTTGTATTCTAATTGCACTTTGATTGAAAATTGTGGTTATTTAACTAAGCTGGCCCTTGGCCTAATGAAATTACTTCACGCCATAAGCCGTTCTTCAGGAATAGCCACACAAATTAATTGGTAATGGAAAACAACGGCTCATCTATCAAATAATTACAGCTTCCCACGTCTTCCAAAGCTGTGTCAATTTCGAGATCCAAAATAAATTTATTGTATGTGAAAATGCACTAACGGTGGCATAAATGACGGGAAGCAATTATGTGAAAATCATTTAATTGCTGCACATTCTGTTCAAATAACTATGACAGAAAAACACACATACACATCCCCCACACCAACAAACAAGCAACAGCAACAGCTAACGGGCCCCGCATCGGTCCACTCAACGACATGACAATAATAAAGAAAATAATTTTACTTACTGGAGCGGGGCAAAGGAAAAGGACCCCCCATCCACCCGTGACCAGGCAGTGCAGCGCACAGGTGGCCTGCCCTGACCCACAGACTGACCACAAAAATGTGGGCAGACGGGCTGCGAAACGTGCTAAGGCGCGCCCACAACATAGCTAGGAGGAAACATTTGTGTGCGCGCCCCGTGAGCACACGGCTCTTATTTTATTCACGCCAAAGGAGTCAAGTCATATATACTGTACTATATAGTATTAGTATATATATGCATGTATATTTCCCATTGCCCCCTCCCTCCCCTATCAACCTAATTGTCGCTGCACTAACCACCGGCATATGCATTGAGTTTCAGTTCCACGCCATGGGCCAGGTACGAAGTTAGTTGCGTTCTGTGACCGCAAGCTGCATTGGTATAGTAAGAGTTATGGTGGCACAGGACGAATGGCAGGCAGGCAAGGTTAGCAACAGCAGCGGCACTCTATAATTTAGCGGAAAAACAGCTAATGGACGCTATATCCTCTACCACGCAACACCAACAACACGCGGCCAACGGAAATGAACACAATTGACAGTTCTCATCGCCCAACGTTGCTGGTTCTGTGGCAGCGTTAGAAAAATAGATAGCCCGGCGACTGGCTGACCGCACGCCCACCAAACTGTCCACTTCAAGGCTTTTATGG